GGTTTATAATGCTAGGACACCGCACTGGCTGGTAAGCTTTTGTTTTGTTTTCTGCGTATATATGTAGCTTTACCTCGGTCTACATTTGTCCTAACTCAGTGAGGTGAGGACTGTATGTCGGCCACATAATGTTTGGAGCCAGCCAGCGCTACACAAGATCTGTCTCAAAACAAGGACAGGGGAGGGTGTGTGTGGCTGGGAACATGGCTCAGCAGTTAAGGGCACTTGCCGCTCTTGCAAAAGACCCAAGTTCAGTTCACCCAGCAGCACCCACATGATGGCTCACGACCAGCTTTAACTCCAGTTCTAGGGGGATCTGACGCCCTCTGATGGCCTGCTCTGGTACTGCATGCACATGGTACACAAACTCACATATACATCAACCAAAAAAAAAGGGAACTTTAAAAACTTGCAAAAGAGGGTCTGGCAGGATGTCTCAGCAGATGTTACTTGTCACACAAGCCTGATGACCCGGGTTTGATCCCTAGAAACCACTTAAAGGTGAAAGGAGAGAGCAATTTTAAAAGAGGGGGAAGGCAGGCATGGCAATACACACACCACCTCTCACACATGAGGAAGAGGCGGGCAGATCTATGAATTCAAGGCCAGCCTAGGCTACAACCCGGGGCCACACGGACTTTGTCTACAAGTAAACAAACTAACAAATAAATAAGAAATGAGGGAAGAGATGTTGGAAGAAGGGACAAGCTGGGTGGTGGATCACTCACACCTGTGATCCCAGAACTCAAACTCAGGAGACTGAGGCAGGAGGATGGAGAGTTCAAGGGCAGCCTGGGATACAAAGAAGTGAGTTCAAGGCTAGTCCCAGCTACACATTGAGAAGCCTTTGTTTCAAACCACCAAACCAAAGGGACAAAAACAAAAATGAAAATCGTTACCCGCTTCTTGTCTCTACAGCAGAAAAGATTGGTCAGGCCCTTTGCAGTTCCGAGCGGGGCCACCAGGGGGCGAGCTGCATCCCACCCCTCCTGCCCAGGAGCCTGGACCTCTTACCCACTTTACTGTGCTTGTCTAGAGAGCACAGTCAAGGTCCAGGCTGAGATGGCACAGACGACAGACATCTACCTCAGAGACAACTTATAGTTTGATGAGAGGATCTATAGGTCAACAAAATAGTAGGAAACTGAATATTAAAGGTGGAAGAAGGGTTCGTCTTTTAGGCATGGAGTCAGGAAAGGCGTCTCAGACCGGAAAGATAAGAGTGAAGTGAACATGAGCCATACCCCACACTGGACGCAGCTCTGTTGCGCTCGGGGTCCTGGAGAGGATGAAGTCCAGCGGGGAAGTGAAGGCGCACACTGTACCCTGAGTGGCTTGATAAGGGCTAACTCTTGGCACCGTGCCCAGCTCCCTCCTCCTTATCTCAGAAGGCACCAAGAAGCCCTGACAGAGGCCTGAATTTAACTCCGTTTTAAAACAAGTGACCCAGAGGGCTGGTGTCCAAGGCCGCAGGTCAGGATATGCGGCTCAGAGTTCAAAGGCAGGCGTGTGCTTCCACACTCTATGGGATCTTAACTATTGGGCTGTTGCTATCATCATCATCATCATCATCATCATCATCATCATCATCATCATCGTTATTAATTTAAAATGAGGCTCTTTCTCTTTGGTACTTCACTGACAATTATTCTTAAGAGCTGAAACCCACCAGGTGGTGGTGGTACACAGCTCTAATGCCAGCAGAGGCAGGTGGATCTTTGTGTGTTTGAGGCCAGCCTAGTCCACAAAGTGAGTCCAGGACAGACAGGGCTACACAGAGAAACCCTGTCTTAAATATATATAAATATATATATATGCAACAACAACTAAAAAGAGACCCTTCTTGATGACAGCAACCTCATGACCGTCAGCGTGGGGACCACAGCTGAGCCACGGCCCAGGGACCTCTCATCACTGTGGCAGCTGCTGGGGCTGAGGCCCTGTGACTTCTGCACTAAAACTCACTCGTCAGGACCGCTCACATAGCCAAGCCTCACTCCAACCCTAACAGTCCTGGGGTCCTTTCCCCGTGCGCCATTGGGTGCTCTCCAGCAGCCCAATCAGGAGAAAGGCTAGAAGGGCAGGCTGACAACTGCCCCTCCAGCCAGCACAACCCGGTATCTACCCTCAGGGTCCCCAGGGCCTGCCTCCTGTGGGGTGACAAGACGTGACAGATGCTCACTAGGGACCCACTCACTGCCCTGCACACTGCCCCACATTCCCTGGCACTCCCACAATGCCTCCCTTACCTTCCAGAAGGACGGTCACCAGAGCAGCACAGCCCACAGCCCAGCCAGGACTGACCTGGACTCACAGGCTAGTGGATCTGGCCACCAGGGCCTGGCCCCTTCTCCTTGTTAGAGGGACAGCTCCTGATTCTGGGGTCCTGCTAAGGACGCACAACAAAAAAAGACCAAGATGAACTCACAGGGATATCCAACACTCCCCGCCTTCCTCATGCTGCTCATGGCTTGTGAACACCC